AGTTTGCGCGCACGCAGCCATTTTTACGATTCATCGAGTTTCTTTGTGTTTTGGTGAGACATTGCAGGTCTACCCAACACTCAACTCATTATACCACTAATTATTCATAACGTTGGGGATTATTCCGACGAAAATATTCGATTCCCACAATGTGCAAGACACGTAGCTACCATTATACGATATTCTAATGCGTTAGTGACGAACGTTTAAGAAAAAAAAAAAAAAAAGAAAAAAAAAACAACAAGAAAGCAAGACATTTACACTAAGCTAAGTATATAGCAATTAGTTTGAATTTTGTTAGTTAGTAAGTAGTCCGAGAGAAAAGCGTCAGCTGTGTTTGTAAGTAAGAATTTTCCGAAAAATCCCTCGATTCTTATAGGAAGAAATTGTAGACACAATGGGGCACGTACTGAACGAGCAACAAAGGTGCGATTTTCGGTAACACGATCTCGAGTAGGCTCAGGGTGTTAAACGATAGCCATAAGTGGCACGTTAAGTGCTCGTTTCACGGGAGAACGATGATACTATACTATCGATTGAAGTCGTGTTACCCGACGGAAGATGAACGAGCATCGAAGTAGATAAGTTCAAATATATCAATTCTGTAAATATGAAGAAAAATAATCAACATTATTTCTATAACTTACCATGAGGTGGTGTATGCTGAGTCGGACTATGTTGATGATGATTAGCAGTAACGGCGGTCCCAGGAAGTACATGTTGCGCGTGTGCCGCTGGATGAACATTGACACCAGCAGGTGAGGCAGGAAGTTGACCTGGTTGATGTACCTGATGATGAGGTACGTGATGCGCAGGATGTGGATGAGGTGGTGGTAGAAAAGCAGCCGCGACGGCAGCCTGAGCATTCAGGTAGGCCATACGCGAGGCCGTCAAATTTCCAAGATTTCCAAGATTCCCAAGATTACCAAGATGATTCGTCAAGCTAGGCATGTAATCCCAGAGTTTGTGATGAGGTGCAGTTGGCGCATAAGAAACCGCCGATACGCCGGCGGGTGGCGATCCTTGAGGCGAGCCTCGATCGGTACCACTTGCATTTCCGGTACCATTGAGACCCAATAACTCCTGAATCGCGAACGGCGAGCGTTGCGGCATCTTGCTGTCCTTCGCCCAAATTTCTTTTCCTTTTAGAATTTTCAAAATGTCATCTTGTAAGATGACTATCTTCTTCTTCTTCTTCTTCTTCTTCTTCTTCTTCTTCTTCTTCTTCTTCCTCTTCTTCTTTTTTCTCTCTTTTTCTTCTTCTTCTTCTTCTTCTTCTTCTTCTTCTTATTATTATTATTATTATTTCTTTATGACTTAGGAACTTTTTGTTTATATATATGTATATAGATTTGTCTCGTTTTATTCCTTTCGATTTTTAGATAAACTTAATTTTTAACACGATTGCTTCACGATAGGCCCCTAACTCACGTCCATTCGACGTCCGACGCTCCGTTACATCCACGTTCAAATAAACTTTCTTCTTTCTTAACTTCCCCTAAATGATGATTATTCGATTCTAAATTAAGTCTCTAGGCTAACTTTCGTTGATTCTTCGTTGAGATTCACAATATTATATTTAGATTCTTGTTTAAGTGTTCTCATAGATCTCCATAATGGAATAACTCCCTAGGTAGAATATCCCTAGGGAAAATCTAGCCTCTTTCGAAGCTAGATAAATATGATTATATCTTCGACTAATATTCGTTGTATTCTTGTCACAGAGATGGATAAATGTATGAAATGGGGATTGACGGAGAAAGAAAGAAATTAGTCTGCCGGCGGGCAAACTTTCAGTAAGCGACGGCAACGCGAGAGAGTAGGAGGTCTATGCCTCTCTCTATGAAAAAAAAAAAAAAAAAAAAGAAAAAAAAAAAAAAAAAAAAGGAACTTCACCTCCTTTACCTCGATTATACTTTCTCACGTATTAATCTCACACTTTATAAAACCATTTCTCGTCGAAGATATTATATAAGTAAAAAAGTCACTAGGAAGATGAGAGACAGATAGAATAATAGACAATTCTTTCCACGAAGAGATCAACTTACTTTTCCCAACCAATTTTTCATCCAATGGAGAATAAAATAAAGTTGACAATTTTCAAACTGAGAAATTGGTGAAGAAAGAGAGAGAGAGAGAGACAGAGAGAGAGGGAGAGAGAAAGAGAGAAAGAGAAAGAGAGAGAGAGAAATAGAGAGAGAGAGAGAGAGAGAGAGAGAAAGAGAGAGACAGACGGATCTGATTTAATACTATCCAGAGACAAAGATTTTTCTGATGATTTGCACTGATTAATGTCCTCGTTCTTGATATATAAGAAATAAAAAAAGACAAATGATATATATATACATATATATGTATGCGTCTGTATATATATATATATGTGTGTGTGTGTGTGTGTGTGTATGTGTGTGTGTGTCTCTCTTTCTCAGTGACAAACGTGAGCGTCGTTGAATGTTGAAGAAGCTCACTCGCGAGGTCTTTGTCGGAGCGCAACCGTGTCGTCGTCGCGGCGATGGGCAACTGAGCTCGCTCGCTGCCGGCTGCACGGGGTTGGGAGCCCCCGGGGGCGGCCACCACCGTCTCGTTTCTCTCTTCTCTCTTCTCTCTTCTCGTCTCTTCTCCTCTCCTCGTCCCTACAGCCTAGCTTCGTTTCGTTTCGTTTCGTTTCGTGTGTGCGATACGCGCGGGCGCGCAATTCTACCCTAAGAGAGGGGTGGTCGTCACTGTCGACAGTGGCCCTCTCGCTTCGCCGATTGGTCCGTTTTTTCACACTCCCAACCGGGCAGACATAGCCCTAGTTACCGAACAGAAGGTGGGCTTTGCCAACGTTGACGCCTCAACATCGAGGCCTAGGATACGCCTACGACCGACCGCTTCGCCAAGCCGAAAACTTCTCTTTTACTTTTATTTCCTTTTTATTCTTCTCCTCATCCCTCCTTCTTCTACATTCATCTCCTTCTCCTTCTCCTTCTCCTTCTTCTTCTTCTTCATCTTCTTCTTCTTCTTCTTCTTCTTCTTCTTCCTCCACGATTCATAGATACTGTTCTTTTATTTATTTTCCTTTTCTTCATCCCTTTTTTTTTACTTTTTTCTTTGTTCTCTTTTTGTTCTTGTTTTTGTTTCGTTTCTCTTTATATTATTTCTTTTTCCTACAGGAACACGATACTCAAGCTCTCGGAAAAATTTCTTATTTCAGTATTATCATATAACTTATTAATTTTTAACTCTTAATTTGTCTTCCTCAAAATTTATTTACAATTGGGGATATTCGAGTGATATATATATATATAATCGTATGTACGTCATATAATTATTTTAATTATCTCAAATGTCAAAATTAGCTGTTCTTGTTTTTCTTTTTTTTTTTTCTTTTTGTTTTTTTCCTTTTCCTATTAATTAATTTTTTCTAGCAGATCTCATTTTTTTTTTTCTTTTTCGTCGCCACAAAAATTTCTATGAAAACGTCGTTATAGATCATTAGTATGAAGTGTTAAGAGAATTTAGAAAGATTTATGATTTCAAATTCGTTCAAAAGCAAAGTTCGAAAACCAAGGAAGAGAATTGCGGTGTTGTGAAACGGCCTTCTCGCTCGGAGGTTCTATTAACGATGTGGGAGTGGTCTGGGCAGCAGCCAATCAGAAAGCGCCACTTTCAACCCTCATTGGCCGTGACGTAAATCGATTTATAACTCACCCTCTTGGCGGTCGTGAGTCGAAACACGCCCTTAAGGCGGATAGCCTTAAGGTCGTGTCTCCTGATCCTTTTGGAGCTTACTTGGAGAGAGAAAGGGTGAAACAAGAGAAAAGATGGGAAAGGAAGAAAGGGTGAAAGTTTTGAAATAAAAGATGTAGAGTTTTTTGAAAACTTTACTTTCACTTTTATAATTCATTCCGATTTATATTTCAAAACTTTTTTTTATTATCATTTTATTTTATTTTTCTTTTTTTTTTAACATTATTTTTAGCTGTACTCGATTGTTTTCTTACTTATTATCTATCTTTCTCTTATTCATACAAATTATCAATAATTTATGAATGAAAAGTCTTTCTCTCTCTCTCTCTCTCTCTCTCTCTCTCTCTTTCTCTTTCTTTCTCTCTCTCTCTCTCTCTCTCTTTCTTTCTTTCTCTTACGCATACAAATTTGTAATAATTTATAAATGAAAAATTTAATTGAAACAAGAGAGTATTTGACTTTTTTACTTAAGTGTAAAATATCTACCTATCTGTAATCTCTTATCTATATATCTACTTATCTGTATATCTCTTTCTTATATAAATTTATAATAATTTATAAATAAAAAGTTTCATTGAATTATTAACATATATGTAATATATCTATATCTCTATTTATCTCTTATAAAAATTTGTAATATCTAATATATGAATGAAAAATTTCATTGAAACATTTAATAATCTATAAATGACGAAGTATCATTGAAATAGATATCTCACGTATAAAATTTATTTTTCTTCATTCTCTTTTTTTACTCGTATAAATTTTTCGTATTAATTTCAACAATGAAAATTTTTTTCATTTAAGTAAATATAAATTCGAAACTTTTCTTTCTAAATATAATAGGATATTTTGATTAAATCATATTTTTCTCATGGAGATATCACGAAAAGCACAGTAATTATCGATAAAGAAAGGCTCCGGGATCGAATGTCCTCGTGATAATTACGAGAGCCGTTTGGGAAGGAAGTAAGGACCGAGTGAAAAGGATAACGCTCGAGTTATTTCAATGGGAAGAAAAGAGAAAGGGAGAGAGACAGAGATATGTCTTATGGGTCTTCTTTGTGAGAAAAGGTTTCGAGCTCACCGAAGGTATTGTTTCGTCGAAAAATATCGCGAGCTTCTTCGTTCCTTCAATGTCGTGGCTAAAGAAAAGCGTAGAAACAGCCCCCGTTCTTTCTTTCTTTTTTTCTTTTTTTTTTTTTTCTCAAACTCACCCCTTTCTTGTTTGCCACTTGTGTTGAGAGATTATTATAAACCTTGCAAAAATCTATGGGTCTTATATGAAAAAAAGTTTTTCTAATGGTCATACCTAGACTTTATATAATCGATTTTTTTTTTTTTTTTTTTTTTTTTTATTCCAAACATATATTTTTATGCTTGAAATCTATCATAGAAACAAATTTATTATTATTTAATATTAAATCAAAATTATCTGAATTAATAATTAAAATATTAATTTTTCAAACTAACCATTATATTTTTATAATATAAAATGAGGAAATAAAAGAGAGAGAGAGAGAGAGAGAGAGAGAGAGAGAGAGAGAGAGAAAGAGAAAGAATGAAAAGGAAGAAAGAACGTGGAAAGATCTTTTGATAGTAACCTTGACTAACGTAAACAATATTTACACGGGTATTATATGTGTAAGCTATGTACGTGACTCGAGCCGATAATAACAAAATACGTTTCAAACATTTGGTAGGACACGTAGGCACTGGCAGTCCTTCAACGGCGGCCAAAGACTTAACATCGAGAACAAAGAAGTTCGAGCTTAGCTTTCTTATTTCTACGTGGTCTTTCACGCTCAACGATACTTGGAAAAATTTTAACAGGATTTTAACAGGTTCGTTAGTCAAAATTTCTAATTATATGTTTTATCATACATAATTACTTTTACTATTATAATACATAAAAATATATATATATATATTTGTATATATATATTTTATATTTGTATGTTTAGTTTTAATACACGATTAAATGTTAGTACAAGCGTGAAGATTGAAGAAACGAATGGTCGATCTTCGTCAGAAGAATATTTGAAAAATATTTTTTATTTTCCTTAAGAACGAAATATTAAATGCAAATTTCTAACAAAATATTTTATCGTATAATATATATTGCACTGTGGTTTTTTTTATTTTTATATTTAATTTTAAAACATAATTAAGGTTAGAATAATTGCGAAGAATTAAATGCCAATTTCTAACAATATATTTTTCATATATTTGTTTATATTTTTTCTATTTTCTATTTTTTTACTTTTAGTTATAAGTTATATGATTAAAGTTAGAATAAATATGAAGAATGAAGAAACGAGTGATCTATCTTCGATAGAAGAATATTTTCGTCTAATTTTTAACTTTGTTGTCAACGATATATCAGATCATTATTTTTAATGATACATTTTATCGTACGTTTATATATTTTTTTAAAAATGAATAATTAGATCTAGATTAGAAATTAACGTATAGGTGGACAACAAATGAATTGATTTATTGATAATAAAATGTTTTCGTTAAATTTTTAACATCGTTAACTTAAAAACCATTTGATAGTTAATTTCTAACGATAGATATTATAGTTCGAACGAATAATTAGAATTTAGAATAAACGTTAAGATAGAAATGACAAATGATTAATTTTCGATAGAAAAATATTTTCATTGAATTATTTAATTTACATTTAATTCTCGACTGAACGTTTGATAGATAGTTAGAAAAAGCTTCGATGAAAATAGAGAAAATGTCTAACTCGATCGAAGCGATCTGTGGGCGACAGTAATGCTAGTTAGACGGAGTTGAAGCACTACCGTTTCCGGAAACGCCTAGGAGATGAGGCTCGGTGCGAACACGATGCCCCGACTCACGGTCTGTTAATTTATCTAATTACGATAGCAGTCGGGATAATTTAGCCCCACACCGCCGGAAATTCGAGACTAACGGTGTGCCGGGAAACACCGAATTAGTCGGGATGCTTTGGAAACGTTGAAATTTCAGGTTCAGGTCGAAAATCCGTAACACAGGCACTTAACGATCATTACTTAATACCTTATTTTTTTACATATTAATCGATTGTTTAGAATTATTTTAGAAATCATTTTGATATATATATATATATATATATATATATATATATATATACTTATTTTTTTAATAACGTTTAAACTTTTATAAAATCAAATTATATAATTATTTACTAATATTTCAATTTTATTTTTATAATTAAATAATTTATTTTTATAATTAAATAATTTGTTAGATAAGTTTTTCTTTAAATCGAAAAAAGTATTAGTTTAAAAAAAGATTTAACAATTTTTAAATATAGTAATAATATCTCATAGACGAATTATTTTCTTATATAAAGTCAAATTATTCATCATATACACATATATGCTTAATATTATAATTTTCATCGTAGAATTAATAGTTAATTCATTATATAATTTTTATCTGTTTTAAAGTGCAATACAAGTTTATCGTCATATAATTAATTATTAATTCATTATATAATTTTTCGTTGAGATACAATATCGTTTTATATAAAAGGGTAATAAAAATTTACTAGTAGATATAATAATAATATCTCATAAAAGTAAATTGTGCAAAGTAAGTTGACGATATAATCTCAAATCAAATTTAGAGAGTAAAATTTGATCGATAAAAGGAGACGTACTAGCTTTTACGTAGATATATATATAAACGAAATTCTTCAATCAGATTTGACGAAGGGTCGAGGTAACTCTGTCGTCTTTCGTATTTTCTATA